CATAATTTCGGCCTTGTGCCACATCTGAGCTACGCTTGGAAAATCACTACTAACGAGATCTCAGCAAATATCTGTAAACATAGCAAGATCTTTTTATTTAGATGGTAATCAGTACAGCAGATAATTATTAAAAGAAATTTAGGAAATTAGGAAATTAAATTTCAGCTTCTTATCTGATAATTTTCCCATAACATTAACAAAATAATTAAGTAAAGTTAATATTTTACGGTATGGGTATATAACAGCGCATGCAAATCAAGGGAGGAGGATGTTTCTGTTCTCGGGGAGAAAAGTGGAATTGACGTGACGGATTCAGATTCTGACCACTTCTGTCATGTTCCCTTAGCCCCCAAAGCCCTTGGAAAAGACAAGAATCGATATTATTCCAATTATAATTTAAACTATAGGATAAACTGTATTCTCTTTGGATAACAGCCAGTCTTTGAGAAAGAAAAATTTGAATTCAAACGAGTGTCATGAACCGCGGGAAAAGCGTTACTTGAATCCCCAGCCCTCGTAGGTCTCGTCTTCCCGCGGGATTCTGAAGAGAATGTCGATGAGATAGTTCTGAAACACTGCTACTACTGCTATTTCTTTTATGTGTACTGCCCTTGCGGACGTTGGGAATTATGGATCTCCATGACACATTATATATGGTTATCTATATTGTTTTATACCAAACCACAAAGACGCAAGGATTTACTGAGTGTTAAAGAATGTGAAAGGAAAAAAAATCACTATTAAATAGAGAGAACATTAAAAGAACAAGAATTGATAATACAGTATATAACGATTTACATCACATTTAAATTTTTGAAGATCAAAGTTAGCTGGAAAACAGGAAGCCAGAAGAGATTTCTGTAAGCTAGAAGTTTAATAGAAGAAACTGTTAACATAGAGTACTGATGAGACCTTCCCGCCAATCCAGTACTGCGCGTACATTCATGTTTAGATACGAGTCGATTTCATCATAACAATTACCATTTAGGTATTTATAGAAAAAGACACTGGGGAAACTACATTAATGCGATGAGAACGTGACTGAAGGCGTGATACCAAGCCAGGATTGGTCAGGTTTGATTTCATCAAGAATCTCCAAATATATGGAAAGAACACCAGACCAAATATTTTAGCACTATTCAAAGCAAGGACGAATGATATATTTATAAATATGTAAAAATGATTCTAGCGAGAGAAAATGTATCTAGTACGACACTGGAACTAATTTTCTGAGTGAATGACCTAGCATTTGATTCAATATAATCTGTCCACTTCATGTCAACAGTAAACATTACGAGACGGCGAAATCAATCCCTCTCCTGGGGGTTATCACCAGCAATGCTGATGGAAGTTACGAGTTCTCTCAGGCGTTAGAAATGAAAATGTTTCCTTTTGGAGGCGGTTAAAATTAACTAGACATTTCTTGGCCCAGTGATCAACAGAAAGTAGACCGTCATTTTTTTTTTTTTTTTGAATAGGCTGCCAATTTGACTTTATCTAATCGCTCAGACTCCCTTTTAAGACAAGAGTAAATGCTTTTAACATCAGGATATATAACGTGTTGAGAACTGATGCCATCAGGTAGATAGTTAATGAAAATTAAGAACAAGATTGGCCCAAATGTAGAGCCATTTGGGACGCCTACATTAATGTAAAAACATCTACAACAGTGACCATTCATGACAACTTTCATTTCGCGATTCGATGAGACAAGTTCGAAAATTCTTCCAGAAGTATCAAGACAAATCTGTTATGGTATTTCTGGTCGAATTTTTGAGTAGACGCTTCGTTTATTTGAAACAAAGTGGGGTAGATTCGATTCCAGGAGGCGAGTGTATCTTTTACTTTAATGGGATTTCTCGAATTATCAGGCCTGTAGGTATAAATAATTATACTGTTTAAAATAAAAGGGGCGTCTACTCAAATAAGAGTGTCCACTAAAAAGTAACATTTAACGTGAGAAAAATATTGCATGTTTATAGTACGATTTTCTTTGTTTGCAGCGAATGCAGCCCAATCTCCTCGCCGATGAAGAAGAGACTTGAAGCAACGGAAATATATTTATACAGAAGAATGCTGAAGATATCATAGGCCTAAAATATGAGCAAAGATCAAGATTTAGAGAAAATGGTAACAAACACAAAAAGGAAACTCTTATATCAATTCAGCAAGAGACAATTAAAATTTGTAGGGGGCATAATGAAGAAAGAGTGCTTGGAAAAATTGATACTCACAAGACTGAGTGAAGTCAAGAACGATAGAGGAAAACAGTACATTAGCTACTTAGTGAGATGGATGTACAAGGTTCAGGAGAGACAACAAAAACTTAAAATTCTTTAAGAGTTACAAGGGAAAAGAAATACTGGAGATAAAAGTTTGTCTATATCCTGAAAGTTCATCGCACGTAAATAATAATAATAATAATAATAATAATAATAATTATAATTATAATAATAATAATAATGATAATAATAATAATAAGAAGAAGAAAAATAATAATAATAATAATAATAATATTAATAAGAAAATAATAATAAGAAGAAAATAAGAAGAAAAATAATTACAATAATAATTATAAGAAGAAGTAAAAAAAATAATTATAATATTAATAAGTAGAAGAAAATTAATTATAATAATAAGTAGAACAGGAAAAAGAATAATAATAAAAAAAGTATATTACTAAGAAGTATCATAATAATAATAATAATAATAATAATAATAATAATAATAATAACACCCAGACCCGGTTACGGAGATAGGACCTGTTACAATTTTATGAGACTACACAATACACACTGACAGAACAATCAAGGCCAACCGGCCAGATATTGTTATTAAAGACCACAAACAAAAACGGCGCCTCCTTATTGATATGGCAGTCCCTGCTGACTGCAATGTATCTTTGAAGATATTCAAAAAGTTGTCAAAGTACAAGGACCTTGAAATAGAAATCTCGAAAATGTGGCATATGGGAACATCAACAATCCCTGTTGTAGTTGGAGCCCTAGGATTGGTTGGAAAAGATTGCAGGTAGACTAATTGAAGGGGTTCCTAGAGGTCCATGCCTCAAGGAGATACAAAAAATTGTTCTGACAAGTACAGCCCACACCTTACGAAGGACTTTATCTATGTAATTTAATTTTTTTTTTTTTTGTCAGTGGAAAGTGTCATGACGCCATTTCTAACCTTAGGTCCTGGGCGGGACCCGGAAAGAAATGTGTAAACGCCAGAAATCAAAGAAAATAAAAATAATAATAATAATGAGAAGAAAAAGAATAAGAAAAAGAACAAAAATAAGAACAAGAAGAAAACGAAGAATGAAAAGAATAATCAGTAGAATATTAATAATAATAATAATAATAATAATAATAATAATAATAATAATAATGATGATAACAATAATAACAACAATAATAATAATAAAAAAAAAAACGAAGAAGAAAAGAAAAATAAAATAAGTATTATAATAAAAAGAAGTACAAAAAGAATAACAATAATAGTACAAAGAAAAACAATAATGATAATAAGAAAAGGAAGAATAAAAAAAGAATAAAGTGAATAAGAAGAAGAAAAAGAATAATAATAAAAATAATAAGAGGATAATAATAATAAGAAGAATAAAGTGAATAAGAAGAAGAAAAAGAATAATAATAAAAATAATAAGAGGATAATAATAATAATAAGAAGAAAAAAGAATAAGAAGAAGAAAAAGAAGAACTAATAATAAAATAAAAAAAAAATAATAGACAATAATAATAATGATTGTGAAGAATAATAAAAAGAATAAAATGTATTATGAATAAAAAAAATAGACAATGAATAATAATAATGAAAGTAGAATAATAATAATAGAAGAGGAATAATAATAATAAGAATAATAATAATTGAAAAGAAAAGAAAAAGATAATAAGAGGACAAATAGAATAATGGTAAAAAGAAGAAAAGGAATTCAGCTAATAATAAAAGTATAAACAATAATAATGAGAAGAATTAAAAGTAATCGTCAAGAATTTTGTAAGAAGAAGACAAATAATAATAATAATAATAAATAATAATAATAAGAAAGAAGAAGAAGAATTTGAATTATTATTATTATAAATATCATTATTTTATAATAAGAATTACATAATTGATGTTCCGCATAGAATAATCCTGTTGGAATAATCTGAATTTTCCACTGAAAAAAAAAAATTAAAGATAGAAAAGTCCTTCTTATGAATACTTTTTGATAAATAAATTGCATTTGTTTTTTCATGGGTGACGCATCCTGCCGTATAAGAATAAATAATAATAATAATTGGTCGTGACAACATTTTTGTGAATTCAAAACAGGGATAGTTTTTTAAGATAAACATTAAGTCTGAAACTGGAAAAAGAACTTTATTATTAATTCATATTATTAATAACGCTTACGAATTTTTCTAATTTTATTATTATTATTTATTATTATTCTTCTTCTTCTTTTCTTCTTTATAATTATTTTTCTTCTTCTTTTTTATTATTAATTAATTATTATTATTATTAATATTATTATTATTATTATTATTTTTTTTTCCCTTTTAGAATTATTAAGATTTTAAGATTATTGTTAGAAGAAGAAGATAAATTATTTTATAGATTAAGATTATTCGCTATTATTCCTCTGTACTTATTATTGTAAACAATTTTGTTTTCTTTAAAGCATGGGCTTCTTCTATCCTGATTATTATTATTAAAATAAGTGGAATCTTTCCATTATTGTAATCCTTCTTCTTCAAATCTTCTACTTATTATTATTATTGTTAAGATTATTCCCATTATTGCCACATTTTATAATTATTTTTCGATTTCAGTAGTTTTTTTTTAAGATAAACTTGATTTTATTAATGCAGAATAAATATTATTCACCTTTTTATTGTGTGCTTCTCTCTAATTAACAATGTCTGGGCTGTTAGCTTTGGAATATTCTAATTATTTTTCTTCTTCTTCTTCTTCTTCAATCTTCTTATTCTTCCTCTTAGATTTTTCTTCTTCTATTATTATTAAAGATTATATTCTTATCCTCTTCTACTTATTATTATAATTCTTTATTTTCTTCTTCTTATTATTGTAATTATTTTTCTTCTTCTTCTTCATCTCTTCTACTTATTATTATTATTCCTCTTCTACTTATTATTGTAATTAAAATTATTATTATTATTTGCCTCAAGATTATTAATTATTTTCTTCTTCTTCTTCTTCATCTTCTATTATTATTCCTCTTCTACTTAAATAATTATTTTTCTTCTTCTTCTTCTTCTATTTTTAATTATTATTATTATTATTTTTTAAGAATTATTATTATTATTATTCCTCTTTACTTATTATTGTAATTATTTTTCTTCTTCTTCTTCTTCATCTTCTTCTACTAATTATTATTATTAAGTTTATTCCTCTTCTACTTATTATTGTAATTATTTTTCAACAGATTAAAGAATTATTTTTCTTCTTCTTCTTCTTCTTCATCTTCTTCTGCTTATTATTATTATTATTAAGATTATTACTATTATTCCTCTTCTAAATTATTGTAATTATTTTCTTCTTCTTCTTCTTCATCTTCTTCTACTTATTATTATTATTATTATTATTATTAATTTTTATTATTATTATTATTTTTTTAAGATTAATTATTATTATTTTCCTCTTCTACTTATTATTGTAATTATTTTTCTTCTCTTCTTCTTCTTCTACTTATTATTTTATTATTAAGATTATTATTATTATTCTTCTTCTTATTATTGTAAGAACTTTATTATTATTATTTTTATTACTATTATTCCTCTTCTACTTATTATTGTAATTATTTTCTTCTTCTTCTTCTTCTTCAGTTCTTTACTATATTCAATCTTCTTGATTATTATTATTATTAAGATTATTACTATTATTCCTCTTCTACTTATTATTGTAAATTATTTTCTTCTTCTTCTTCTTCATCTTTTATTCTATTATTATTATTATTATTAAATTATTTTCTTCTTCTTTCTTCTTCTTTCTTCTTTATTATTATTATTATTAAGATTATTACTTTATTCTTTCTTCTTCTTCTTCTACTTATTATTATTATTATTAAGATTATTATTATTATTCCTCTTCTACTTATTATTATAATTATTTTCTTCTTCTTCTTCTTCTTCATCTTCTTTATTTTTATTATTATTATTATTATTATTATTATTATTTTTCTTCTTCTTCTATTATTATTATTATTATTTTAAGATTATTATTATTATTCTTCTTTATTATAGTAATTTTTTCTTCTTCTTCTTCTTCTTCATCTTCTTCTACTTATTATTATTATTAAGATTATTACTATTATTCTTCTACTTATTATTGTAATTATTTTTCTTCTTCTTCTTCTTCTTCATCTTCTTCTACTTATTATTATTATTATTAAGATTATTACTATTATTCCTCTTCTACTTATTATTGTAATTATTTTTCTTCTTCTTCTTCTTCTTCAAATTATTATTATTATTAAGATTATTATTTTATTATTATTGTAATTATTTTCTTCTTCTTCTTCTTCTTCTTTCATCTTTTCTTATTATTATTAAGATTAAAAAAATTCCTCTTCTAATTGTAATTTTTTCTTCTTCTTCTTCTTCTTCTTCTTCATCATTATTATTAAAGTTATTACTTTATTCCTCTTCTACTTATTATTGTAATTATTTTCTTCTTCTTCTTCTTCTTCTTCTTCATCTTCTTCTTCTACTTAATTTTATTAAATTTCTTTTCATTATTTCTTATTATTAATTATTAAGGGCTTCTTCTTCTTCTTCTTCATCTTCCACTTATTATTATTATTATTAAGAATCCCTCTTCTACTTAATTGTAATTATTTTTCTTCTTCTTCTTCTTCTTCAATTATTATTATTATTAAGATTATCTTTTTCCTCTTCTACTTAAAAATTTTTTCTTCTTCTTCTTCTTCATCTTCTTCTACTTATTATTAAATACAATAATTATTGATTATTTTTGTTCTTCTTCTTCATCTTCTACTTATTTTATTATGATTTTATTTTTCTTCCTTCTTCTTCTTCTTTTTTATTAAGATCTTCTAATTATTGTAATTATTTTTATTCTTTCTTTATTAATGTAATTATTTTCTTCTTCTTCTTCATCTTCTTCTACTTATTATTATTATTATTAAGATTATTACATTCCTCTTCTGAATTACTTCTTCTTCTTCTTCATCATTATAAATTAAAGACCATTATTTTTTCTTGTCTTCTTCTTCTTCAATCTTCTTCTACTTCTTCTTCTATTATTATTATTATTAAGATTTATTATTCCTCTTCGACTTATTATTGTAATTATTTTCTTCTTCTTCTTCTTCTTCATCTTCTTCTACTTATTATTATTATTATTAAGATTATTACTATTCTTCTTTATTATTATTCTTCTTCTTTTCATTATTATTATTATTATTTTTTACTATTTTCTTCTTCTTCTTCTTCTTCTTCTTCTACTTATTATTATTATTATTAGATTATTACTATTATTCCTCTTCTACTTATTATTGTAATTATTTTTCTTCTTCTTCTTCTTCTTCATCTTCTTCTATTATTATTATTATTAAAGATTTTACTATTATTCCTCTTCTACTTATTATTATTTTTCTTCTTCTTCTTTCTTCATCTTCTTCTTATTATTATTATTAAGATTTTACTATTATTCTTTCTTCTTCTTCTTCTTCTTCTTTCTTATTATTATTAAGATTTTTACTATTATTTTTCTACTTATTATTATTCCTCTTCTACTTATTATTATAATTATTTTCTTCTTCTTTTTCTTCATCTTCTTCTACTTATTATTATTATTATTAAGATTTTTACTTTATTCCTATTATTCCTCTTCTTCTTCTTCATCTTCTTCTACTTATTATTATTATTATTTTTTTTATTCCTCTTCTTCTTCTTCTTCTTCATCTTCTTCTACTATTATTTTATTATTATTATTTTCTTCCTCTTCTACTTCTTCTTCATCTTCATTACTTTTATTATTTTTTACTTTATTCCTCTTCTACTTATTATTGTAATTATTTTCTTCTTCTTCTTCTTCTTCATCTTCTTCTACTTATTATTATTATTATTAAGATTATTACTATTATTCTTCTTCTACTTATTATTATTATTATTAAGATTTTTTACTTTTTTCTTCTTCTTCTTCTTCATCTTCTTCTACTTATTATTATTATTATTAAGATTATTACTATTATTCCTCTTCTACTTATTATTGTAATTATTTTTCTTCTTCTTCTTCTTCTTCATCTTCTTCTACTTATTATTATTATTATTAAGATTATTACTATTATTCCTCTTCTACTTATTATTGTAATTATTTTTCTTCTTCTTCTTCTACTTATTATTTTTTTTTTCTTCTTCTTCTTATTATTATTTTTAAGATTATTATTATTATTATTATTCCTCTTCTACTTATTATCATAATTCCTTTTTTCTTCTTCTTCTTCTTTTTATTTTTTTATTATTATTATTATTATTTTTTTAAGATTATTTTATTATTCTTCTACTTATTATCATTATTTTTTCTTCTTCTTCTTCGACTTTTTTATTATTATCATTATTTTATTATTATTATTATAATTATTTTTATTATTATTATATTTATTTTTCTTCTTCGGGTCACGTTCAGTGAGTATCTCACTCGGTAAGTATCAGGTTAGTATTGATAGCGATAGTTTTGAAAGCAATACTAATTTTTATTTAAACTTTATTATAAAACATAATTTATGACCGTTAACCAAAAGCACACTGCAAGATTTTAGGCACGAATTGGGGACATGAAAATCAAGCAGTTACAAAATGTAACTCTCTCGGAAGTGTTGTATCAGACGACCGGAAATGTATCTAAGAAATCTAAATAATCATTAGAATAATGTATAATGCCTTCCAAAACCAAAGCAAAGGAAAACATATTTCTAACGATGAAGGGCGTGGTCATATGGTGACGACATTGTTGAGATGGGAATAATCTTGAACAAAAATCAACATCCCCTAACAAATGTTCCAGAAAATAGGAGTTAATGTAAACTGTTACAAAACAGAAATGGTGATATGGAATTGGAATGAAAGTTGCGATGCCTTTTAACCTAAATCGTCATGTATGGCGCCAAACTCGTTTAGAAATATCTGAATTGTCGGCCATATAAATACGCATCATCAGGTCAAGGGTTAAAATGTTTTTAATACGAATGAAACCTGTAGATTTAAGCGCGGACCATACTTTATTTAAACTTTGTGGACTGACGTTACAAAATCACAAGCCAAAAAACAAAACAAAAAGAAACAAAAGACACCGTACCAGTTAACAGAAACCGTATCCTTTGAGGTCTTTCAACAGCAGCAACAACTAAAATCAGTAGCAGAAGTGACTCTAAGAAATGAGATAAACGACATGTTGGCTTTTCACATTACTTCAACTAAAAGATTAGGGAGGAAGCCTCTTTCAATGCTGGAAAGAGCAATAACTTTTTCTGGACTTGAGAAACTTATTTTACAGAACAATTGTTTTAAGAGATAGATTTCTTTGAATATCAACAGTTGTGGTACCACCGATAGCTCGTTCAATAACCGAGCCAATATTACAGATACCATTCTATCTGATACTAAATACTGAAAGTTTTTTTTACAGTTGAAAGAAACCTCAAGACAGCTTCTGCAGAAAAATTTTTTTAATACAAGGTTGGAACACGTAGGTAACGAAGATAATTTAAGCAATGTATGAAGATAAATGTTGTTACAATTTTTGGATACATTATGTAACTAGTGAGCTAGCCCAGATGACTTGACTCACTTTATAGTCCACCAATAGAAGGTTAACCAATCAGAAGGCGTAGAATATTCAATCCGTCGTGTATAAAGGCGGCCATTTTGTTTACTCTATCCGAATGTCCAGTACCAGCTTGCCAGGCGAAGAGGAAGAAAAGGAAGAACTACGCTCTGCTACTTTACCGGGATATCCACTGCTAACCTGAACAACGCTTTCCTACTGTCTTTGAAATATTCACTGCTAACCTCTGGATTCTATACTCAAAGACGACCGTCATCATGAACAACAAATGTCACTTGTATCTGCAGTCAGATAATGCAGTTGAAATCTCTACGAAACATGAGGAAAGAGGTCTTGAACAATTTGACACTCACAGGACAGAGTGAAAGCAAACCGGGCAGATAAAAAACAGCGTGTTATCTTACCTAGCTATCTTGTGTAACCTGATGGCAGAATAGGGACTGGAATGTATAGTAGTCGACACCCGCTCGCATCCAAGAGTCAGGATCATCATCCTCTTTCTGTATTTCTTTTCTCTCCCGTGATAGCAACCGCAGAGATGAGTTTTACGAGGACATTCGCATGAATGATTTTGATGGGCAAAACTCCGCGAGGGAGAAGCCCACACATTTGGCCAAAAGTGCCTCCCTCGCGGCTGAAACGGGATTGAGACAAGCTTTCGGATACTTGGTCTGTCAAGGTACGCCTTGTTGACCTCAGCCTGACTGGCGCTGCACTAGTCCATAGGTTTGGCCTTTGAGATCATATAGATCTTTGCCTACGATGGGGTCTTCCGGAATTGCTTGCATTCAGTCTGGTCTCTTCTCCCACCTCTGTCTGCATCGCTGTTTATCTGTCTCTCTCTATTTCTATATATCTATCCCTATATATATATATATATATATATATATATATATGTATGGGGGAGAGATAGAGAGAGATTGAGTTTTTTTTTTTTTCGTTTTTTTTTTTCAAAATCACTGGGATCATCATCTTTCTACTCTGGTAGCGGTGGCAGAGATGGATGTGAATCAAAGAGAGTTTGATGAGACCATTCTCGTGAATTTGATTTTGGTAGACAACTCTGAGCCCACATACATGGCGAGAAGCGCCTCCCTCACGGCTCAAACGGGATTGATACAACCAATATTTGATTGCATCGAGATGTCGTAAGCTTGGTCTGTCAAGGTCCATCTTGGTAAAACCAGCCCAATTGAGGATCTCCTCTTCCACAGTTTCTTGTATATCTTCGTCTATTCCGCCACAGGGGATTTGGTGGGGGGGGATCGCGTTCAGTTTGAACTCTTCTCGCCGATCTTAAACCCTTGGTTGGCTCTACAGAAAATGGAACCCTAGACGGATTCACTGTTAGGATCACTGGAACACGCAAGCCCTCTACCATAACAAGGGGTAACTATATATGTTACACTAGATGTTGGCGGAAACAGTTCGTTAGTAAATGTACCACTTTGACTTATTATTTAATGACGATAATAGAAAGGAATCAATAAATAAGAAAAAATAAAAGTATAAAATTATCATTAAATATATGAAAACATTTTTTATAATGGTTTTTGCGAAAATTAAATATTTGGTAGGTAAATATATAGTAAGGGGACATACACTACATTTAAAACGTTTGAAGACACCCCCAGAATTACCATGGGATTAAATTGAGACACGAGTGAAAAAAATGAAAGATCTCTTTGAGTCACTGAAAAAAGAATGGAATTAATTATCAAACTTTTAATTTAATAAACTTTTGCAACGAATGCCAAAGATTTGTGCAGCAGTAACCAAGGCTAAACGAGGTTATTTTGACGAGAGCAAATGTTAATCATAAAATCCTTTTTTTTTCTTTTTGTCATAATAAAATCACATTTTTTTTAAAACATCTACAATAATGTTCTCTTATTTGTAGTGCATTACAACTATTTTTTGTGCCAATTTAAAGAAAAAATACAAGGGGTGGGACTCAAACATTTTAATTGTAGTTAGCATTGTACAGAACTGCAGTGTAGTGTAAAATGAACAGAGTCATGATCGTCTACGTCTCGACGAGACACGACACATAAAACATGAATATACAATCCATATATTCAGATACTGATGTCATCAAATAATTTGCTATGGCAAGTTTTCAGGCATGATGAATCCCTTCGTTCAACCAGTTCTGACTTTCGCATGATACTTAAACTTGGACGAAATATCCGCATTCCTTTCATATTAAATTCGTTAAAATAATTTGAGAAGAGACTTTCCGAGATGATTCTTTCCTGTTCACTAGAATCTCAAGTCTCATATCAAGTATTATTTACCCTACATATCCGAAAATTATAAATTTACTTAATTTATTTACATCGATACAAGGACCTCATTCAGTAACTCTCTAACTCGAGTTGATCTTGGGCCTTAGTTTGGTTTGGTTTGGTTTGGTTTGGTTTGTTTGGCTTGTTTTATGGCATATCAGCTTCAATGGGTTATTTAATGGCGACAATATTTTTATTGCTTTTAATTTTTTTTTTTTCAAAAATGTATTGCTGGAAATAATTCTTCAAAAATGTATATTTTCATACATTAATGCTTCGACCCCAGGTTCGGGGTTAATTACTTGCTCAAGGTTGATACCTAAAGAGATTTTACCACCTCGGTTCAAGGTGGACCCGGGGACAACAGCAATTATGATGCGGTCCTAAGCTCGTCAGAACCTCCCGATCAGAGGTCTTGCTGCCGGATGTAGTTTATCGTCATAATGAGGACATCGGCCCTTGCATTTCGTGAACATCTAATAAAAGAAACAGTTTAAAAACAATCAGAAATCGGAGAATCTAGTCGTGGTGACTTTCACTACCGATATCTAACTGCTAAACGTGAGAAGCGTTTTCATAATTACATATTTCATAACCCCTAGGGCTGTAGCAGCCCTACATCTACTGCAAAGGATGTCCCCAAGACACATGGCCCAGTGGATTTCAATTAATCCAGTGATTTGACCCAAAGAGTTTTGAGTTAAATACTTTGAGTTGAGTTACTAAAGGCAGGTAACTGAAAATAAGATATCCAGAAAAGGCATGACACGTGGATCTAGAACAATTTACTCCCGTGGACTAAATAAAATGTTTGGTTGGAAATTCCAACGATTATCACCTGAAGAAGGCCGAAGCGTACAACGGCCGAAACATCGTGAATAGGAAAATAAAGATGAAGACAACGATCCGAACAGTGTAAATAGTGTAAACATTCCCACCATTAACCTGTCGGAAACTATTGAAGAAAGGGATATAATGAAAATGGAAACAGCTATAAACACTATGAAGGAAAATACAGCATCATAGAGGGCAAGAGATTTGTCTATTAACAAACGGCTAAATAAAAGTACCTGGTAATCGGTAAACTTTATTTAAACTTATCGTTAAGCTTATCTTACGTTTTATATGCAGTGATTACTTCTCGTATTCTTAAATGTGTTTTGTAATGTTTTGTAATAATATAAAATAATTGGAGAATGCTTTATACATTACAGGCTTAAATTTACTAAATTCGTCGTACAGCAAAGCCATACCGAATGAATGTTGCGTATAATTTTATTGAGCGTTTTTAAACCGTGAAATAGGCTAACTGTCATTTCTATATTTTAAGCAATATAATTACAAATAATTCTAATGTATATAAATAAAAAAACAGTTTTCAACCTTGGTATCTAGAATTTTCGAATTCAAGCCAATTGCTAGATTGGCGACAAAGTCTCATCACCTTCTAGTTTAAATGGTTAGATATCATAGTATGCGCTATACTAACATCGTTTCGTTTCTCGTACTTCTCTCTTCCGGCTGCATGCTTTCAAGTCAAATTTGATCTTCAAAGTTTTAAGTGCAATGTCTTCTTATTTCGTGTCCTTTTATTGTTCTCTCTCTCTCTCTCCTTAATAATGTTTTCATTTTTTCTTATTCGCTCACACTTCGTAGCGGTTTGAGTCGTAGTGGCTACATTACCTTGCTAGCGGTGAAATGATTTGAAAAAGAAAAATTAGAATTAGAAATATATGCCTAGATTTGTGTTTCTGTTAAGTCTTAAGTCCTGGTAATCTCATCAGACAAATAGTTGTTACAGTTTGGCTTTAAATAATCCACAAATGCTTGGAAAGACGAAAAACACAACATGCAAATAACAGTTATTCCAAGCAAGGGGGTAACGCGAGAAATTGATATAAACTTATGTATTCCTATAATCTATAATATATTTAATCCATATACAATATAGTGCAAAAGTTTGAGGCCTGCTTTGGCAACTTTTTTAAATTGGCCCCAAATGTAGTTCTTTTTTTTTTTCTCTCTTTTTTTACTTTAAGAGAAAATTATAGCAGATGGTTGAAAAAATGAGACATGGTTTTCTACTAGAAATTTTATTATGACATAAAGAACAAATAGTATTTTATGATTAAAGTTTGCTCTCGTCAAAATAACCTCCTTTAGCCTTGATTGATTAATGCAACACAAATTTCTGGTATTCGTTGCAATGTATAAGTTTGATATTTTATTCTATTCTCTTTTCAATCACCCTAACAGTTCTTTTTCATCTTTTTTTTTCACACCCAACTTCACCCCATGCTAATTCTTGGGGTGGCTTCAAACCTTTGAAGAGTAGTGTATATTTCTGTAGCCTATCAATTACGAAACTTTCACCTTTCTTTTAGACGATCATGTATCTTTCCTGACTGACGAGGCAGATTTTTTCATGCAGTAGGTTGCACTTTCTTTCTGCGGTAGACCAGTTGCCATCCAAGGCTATAGACCCCGGTCTGTCCCGCTATTTACCTATTGCTGGGGTGGGGGGGAGAAGAAGAGGAATCATAACTTTCCCAAGGGTGATTAGCATTTGTGAATGTAATGGATTCGACTGGAATAGTCTATCCTAAATTGTTGTTAAACTGCTCCAAAAAATTAAACCTATTTACAGGCTGTCAGATATTTTCTAAGCTAAAAATCAAAAAATGAACTAGACCGTATTTCTCTAAACATGGTGAGTGTCCAGCTTCTGAGAAGTCATGTTGGTGATATTTCTCTTTCAAATTATTAATTTTCTTGATTTTCATTTTTTTGTTTTGGTTTCGTCAAAAGATTTATTCATCTCAAACATCTACATTTATATATTTATTTTAATAGGAATTCATGAGAGATTTTATTTATAGTGAAAATCCATGAAGGCTTACACTGCAGAGTTTAAGAAAATGGTTAACGAAATCTGAATTCGTGTGTTTCCACTATGCATCTTCACGGCTCACGATGCAGGGCACTTTAAACATTTAAAGAACGACAAATTAGTTTAATTCTTTAATAATCTTCTCTTCGAAAAAAAATGGTTCGATAAAGATGTATTTCTTTGATCTCTACATTTTTCGGTCTGATGAAATAAAAGTAAGTGAAAGCTGTAAAATCAAGAATTGGGAGCTATTTTTGACTTACATTGTATAGTCTAAGTCTCTTTTATTTATTTATTTATTTATTTATTCATCTTTGGATTTCGTCGACCATCATGAAAATTTTGCATCGGTTTAAATAGCGAGGAATGCGGACATCTTTGCCTCTTCTTAACAAATTTTCTTTAAATAAAAACACATGAAGTAACGATTACGTATTAACTCAGGTTTCGCTTACTTTTCCTTCTTAAACTCATTTTTTTTTAATCTTCTCCGGGGAACTAAAGGTCAATATTCTTTTGATGGTTACAGCCAAACATTTTATTATTAGTTTCCATTGATTGATGACCTTGCCAAATTCATAAAAACTCCTGCAATGTTTGCGCATCCCCGGAAATGATAAGCCAGCACCTCGTTGTCCATCACTCCCACCAACCGGTATAAGAACTCTTGCAAAGCTTTGCACTCCGCTGTGATCGCAATACAAACCCGAGGGCAGGAAATTGCACTCTTTCTTCTCCTGATTAATTAAGAACTTGAAATACTTAGCTTTCAACTATTTCTTTGATGGTAGCAGGGACATTTATCCAATACCAAACATTTTTTCATACTGATGGAAGAGGAGGGATATACAAGAAAATCCCTGTCTATGTTGTTACTCAATATCGATTATGACCTATCAGGAATTCTTTCTTTCATTCACCCTGTCAAATTGTTTCATTCGTTCGATATTTCTTTCTATTCATTCGTTCTTTTTTTTCCTGTGGTGTCAGACGTTCTTTGGTTTTATTCGTTTTTTTTTTTTCATTTGCCTTTCTTCCTTTGCAGAAAGATAATGTTGTTCTCCTTTTAATGAACGTTTTATGAATATTTTTTTTTATTTACTTCATAGTCATAATTCATTTGGTGATTGCATTTTTGTTTCTATCTTTTGTTATTCTTTTCTTTCTTTCTTAATTTTTTTCTTTCGTAATTTCTTTCTTTCTTCCATTCGTTCTTTTCCTTTTTTTTGTTCATTTCTTTCCTGCGTGTTTTTTTTTTTTTTTGTTGTTGTTCTTTCTTTCTTTCTTTTTTCTTCATTCGTTCTTTTTTTTTTTTCTATGATGTCAGATGTTCTTTGCTTTTTTATTCGTTTTTTTTTTTTTTTGCCTTTCGTCCTTCGAGACATATAATGTTGTTCTCCTTTTAGATAACGTTTTATAAATATTTCTTTCTTATTTACTTCATAAATAGTTTTTTTTTTATTTACTTACTTCATGCAGTGGGTGATTCTTATTTCTCTTTCTTTATTTCTTTCTTTCTTATATTCGTTCTTTTTCTCGTTCTTTGTTCATTTCTTTCGTCCGTTTTACGTTTTGGTTTTCACTTTCTTTTTTCTTTCTTCCATTCGTTCTTTTTTCATTCTTTCTTTTCTTTCTTATATTTGTTCTTTTTCACGTTCTTTCTTTCTTTCTTTTTGTCCGTGTTTCGATTTTGCATAATTTCATCCTTATTTTTTTTCTTTTTTTCGTTCGTTTTTGCTTTATTTTTTCTACTTCTTTTCTCTTTCCTTCTTGGTTTTCTTGCTGTTTGCTTTATATTTCTTCTTCTTTTCCCTTTCTTAAATGTTTTTATATTTACTTCTATTTTTACTTAATCGAAGTCCCAACAATTCAAACTCACGCTCCGGCCTGTCATTCTGTGTCTTCTGGGTTCAATCAGCCTCATTCTTTTCTTATTCTATTTGAAAGAAAAATGCCACGCAGCTTCTCTTCCCAGAAACAGCTACTTTGTGGAAGAATGCCCTGCGCGTATGGCCCCAACACTACAATATCAAACTCTTCTACTCAAGTATCAATTATAATCTAAACCTCTTCATCCTCGTCAACTTCGCCTGCCTCTTCCTCACCTTACGTCCATACCATAGAGCTTATTCACGTTCTTTCTCTCTTAGATGACTCTTGGCCACTGTATCATGTAAACAAAACTAAAATAATTGATATTTACATTTCGTACTTTCTTAAAATATATACTGAATATACTCGTGTAACGCGCGATCTCGCGTATCGTGCGACCCCAAAATTTTCACTTATAAAAAACGATTTTATCATGTATCTTGTGTATCTTTCGAGTTCCTTTTTTGAGAGACAAAATTAAAATAGACTAACCTTTTTCCCACTACCTCTTTATCCCATCTTCTAGTTAAATAAGTTAGAAAAAAAAGTAAAAGAGAATGATAAAAGTATCGGTAGTAACGCTATACTAGTTACTTAAATGAGTACAGCCATAAACAACCAAACGAGAAACTTCTAAACATCAACGTAAACAATAAAAAGATGCATATTTGCTATGTTTCTATTTTATAATACGATGATGAATTGTAAATATTACATGCATTATTATTGGATACAGTTAAATACAATAACAGTTTTATCAAAATCATGTTTATTTTAAATACAGCTGTAATTTTTGACTACAGTAAATGGATATAGAGTTGGGTCAGCGGCGGAAACAGGACCAGCAGTGCATACACTTATTTTATTTCTCGTGTATGATACGACTCACTTAAAATTAGCTTCAAAATTACGTCTTGAAAAGTCGCACGATACGCGAGTTTGTACAGTACGTTTCTTTCTTTTTTTGTTTTGTTTTCTATTTATTTTAATTAGTAAACCTATTTTTTCATGTTCATGCCTTTTATCTCAATTGATTTTCCCCTTTTTACCACTTCCTTTTCTCTATGTACTTTTCATTAAGATTATTTTCTTCCCTTTCATTTTTTTATCTCCCATTTCTTTCTTTTCTTTTGCCTCTATTCATTTATGAGCTTTTATATTTACCTCCGCTGCTTTTTCTGCTTTTCGATATTCTTTTCCCTTCGATATTTTCACCATCATTCTTTTATTTGTTTTTTATCGCCATTTTTCTTTTCCCATTCTACTGTAATCGGATTCTTCACTCACCTTTCTTTTTGCGTACCTTCGTCTCTCACCTGCACTTCATTGCTAAAATTTCTTTTTTTCTCTCTCCATATTTATCTCTCTTTACGTTTAACTTCTATTCTTTTCAACGCCATTCCGCTCTTATTATTTCACCTTTCTTTATTACCTCCATTTTTATCTCACCTTTATTTTTCCACCATTCGGTTCTCTCAGCTGTATTTACCTCTACTCTTTGTCGCTCTTTGCATTTTACACACATTCTTTTCTCCCGGCGTTTTTTTTTTTTACCTCATTATTTTCTCTGTATTATTTTACATCGTTATTTTCTCCCCGTTCTTTTTACCTCATTCTTTTCTCTACATCATTTTACCTCATTCTTTTCTCTACGTTCTTTTCTCTCCGTTCTTTTACCTCATTTTCTCCTCGTTTCTTTATTCCATTCTTTTCTCCAGGTTCTTTTACCTAATTTTCTCCCCGTTTTTTTTTTTATTCCATTCATTTCTCTCCGTTCTTTTACCTCATTCTTTTTTCTCCGTTCTTTTACCTCATTCTTTTTTCTCCGTTCTTTTACCTCATTCTTTTTTCTCCGTTCTTTTACTCCATTCTTTTCACACCGTTCTTTTACCTCATTCTTTTCTCTCCGTTTTTTTTTTACTCCATTTTTTCTCCACGTTTTTTTTACCTCATTCATTTCTCTCCGTTTTTTTTTTTTTACTCCATTCTTTTCACACCGTTCTTTTACCTCATTCTTTTAACTAAGTTTTTTTTACCTCATTCTTTTCTCCCCGTTTTTACTCCGCTGTTTTCACCCCGTCCTTTTACCTCATTCTTTTCTCTCCGTTTTTATTCCATTCTTTTCACACCGTTCTTTTTTTTTCATTCTTTTCTCTCCGTTTTTTTTACTCCATTTTTCTCCACGTTTTTTTACCTCATTCATTTCTCTCCGTTTTTTTTTTACTCCATTCTTTTCACCGTTCTTTTACCTCATTCTTTTAACTAAGTTTTTTTTTACCTCATTTTTTCTCCCCGTTTTACTCCGCTTTTTCACCCCGTCCTTTTACCTCATTCTTTTCTCTCCGTTTTTATTCCATTCTTTTCTCTCCGTTTTTATTCCATTCTTTTCACACCGTTCTTTTACCTCATTCTTTTCTCTCCGTTTTTTTAACTCCATTCTTTTCTCTCCGTTTTCTTTTCTATATTCTTTTCTCTCCGTTCTTTTTCCTCATTCTTTTCTTCCCGTTTATTTTACTCACTTATTTCCTCACCGTTTATTTCTTTTTTCTCTGTTATTTATCTTTTTTATTTTCTCCCCGTTCTTTTACCACCTGATTTTCTCTCCGTTACTTTTCAACATTCTTCTTTCTCCGTTTATTTACCACAGTTCCTTTCTCTCCCACATTTCTTTTACCACTTTTTTTTCTCCTCATTCTTTTAACACCTTTCTTTTCTCCGTTAATTTACACCATTCTTTTCTCTCAGTTTTTTTATACCACTATTCTTTTGTCTCCGTTCTTTTACGCCATTCTTTTCTTCCCGATCTTTTACGCCATTATTTTCTCTTCACTCTTTTTAATTAATTTTTTTTGCTTCTTTTTTAACCATGATTACTCACTTTTCAATTTCCTTTAGTCTGGACTCCATTCTCTTTCTATATTTTTCTTTTACCTACGTCCATTTCTTTGCATTGTTAGTATAATATTTTTTTATTCATTTTTATCTCTTCTTTTTTTTAACATGGCACTTAACAGATTTTACTTGCCTTTCTTCCTTTTCATCATATTTTCATCAGTTTTCGTACTACGTAATATCGGCTCTGCTTATGGCAGTGAATAGTGGACAATCTCATCAAAGATGGAGAAAATACTTCGGTCAACAGCAATACGATTCTGTAGAAATACTGAGAATGCCATGAACTGAACATGTGATTAATAACGATGTCTTGGAGAAGCAAGAAGGGTCATTCTGAATAGAATCAGAAAGACACGGTTACAATTTCCATGGCGCATAATGAAGATATGACATGAACCAAAAGGAAGTATTAGAATTAGAAAGAGACAATTGAAGTAACTAGGGCACATATTGAGAAAAGATGGCTTGGAAAATGTAACAATCACAGGACATATGTAAAGCAACAGGAATGGAGGAAGATGAAGGTGAACTTGCCAAATGAATTTGTGTAAATGGTTAGCAGAACAGGGCTTAGGAGAGACAGCAAAAATGAAAAACTTTCCGAAAGCGACAAAGAATTTGAAAATTTGATGAGCCATGAATGCCCACCTACTGAAGAGACAGAGAATAAGAGGAAGAAGAAAAAAAATGAAGAACTATTATTTTAATCGTTTTACACATAGCAAGGTGATAATAACACCTGAACGCAGAAGTTTACCGGATTTAAACTGAAAGATAACGAGAAATCTGAGAATGACGAGAATTGAAAAAAAAAAGGACAAAAAAAAAGGACAGGGTCCAAGAAGATAAGAGATGACGATTGACATTGCATTTATATTTTAAAAGATCGTCTCTATCAGAGAACCTTAAGAATAAGAAGGGAGTTTCACAGTCGAGAATCAAAACTGTTGGTGTAGTAGTGGCTGTTGCATCTAGCTAGTTCAACAGCAAATCGGGGTGACCTAGCTGATTATTTAGGAGAATGTTTAAATTCATGTAGTCTGGACACCAGAAGAAAAAAAAAAGCATATCACAGCAGCTGCCATGAAAATAATTGTAGAAAAGACAGAAGAAAGGCACTTCACGTTGGTGAGAAAAGGACTTAAATCGAGATGCCAGGTGAGTATTGATTACATAACAGCTCTTTCTTTGTTTTTGTTCTCTTTAAGAATCTCGAGATGTAAAGCAGGAGAATTTTAACTTATATTATTTGACTTCCTGTCTTTTTTCCGTTTCCTTTCTTACATATTATTTTCGTTTGAGTGATATATATATTATATTCTAGTTTTCTTTTTCTCCATTTTCTTTCATCGTCTTCTCGTAACGATATTTTTATCATTTGTCTTTTATTATCGTCTTTCTTTAAATGCTTTTATATTTCTTCCTTATTGTTCACTTCTTTCTTCATTTTCGCAGGCACTCACTTATTCATTTCTCACTCCTACATTCATCGAGAAAGTTACAATTTATTTCTTTTATTTTATTTATTTCCGTTTTCCCTGCGGTAACGTTGTCAATTTTTCTGTTGTAGCCTCTTGAGGATTTTCACCGAATTTCCCCGATTGAGGTCGCCGATTCGACCAGCAGGAAGCTGCAAATAAATCCAAGATGGCGGAAAAATATTTTATGTGTTTGTAAGCGAATTATTATTTGAATTATCAGCAAAGTGTTAACAGCAGATACAGAAAGAAAGCTACAAAATCTCCTACAGAAGGTAGTTCATTAAAACGATAAGAATCGATTAAACATCAACTACAAGAATACAGGATGCATGGTTGTTAGCAAAAGAATGAGTCCAAATTGCGAACTGCAAATCAATGATACCAAAATCAAACTATTACAGAAATTTTATCGTGGAGGAAGTGTTTTAACAGAGGAGGGAAACTGTGGCACCGAAATCCGAAGGCATATTCGGATAGCAAAGGGAACATTCCAAAAGATATGCAGAGTAAAATGAAAGAGAAAATTATCTATAAAAAAGGACTTAGTGCTGAATTGTTACATGATATCTGTTCTCCTATAAAGCAGTGTATACTGGACAATCTCCTCAAAGAGGAAGATGAGACTTGAAGCAACAGAAATGTGGTTCTAAAAAAGGATGCTAAGGATAACATGGATCGAAGATTCTTTGTTTGGGATTCTTCTTCATTTGTAAGGAATTTGCCCATAGAAGGGAAGATAGTTTTGGTATGGTAGATCAACATTGTTTTCTTTGTAATTAACGAGATTTTCCCCTGTCTTTTAGATTTTAGAAGGCGCATTTCTCTATAACCATGCTCTTTTGGATTTCTGAGTCAACGTTTTTGACGAGTTATTGTTTCTAATAGCTTGTCCTGTCCATAATTCTTTCCTCGTTAGTGTCCATCTATCACATTTACAAATCTACCATTCTCCCATGCACTGAATACCGCTTCCATATCTCGGCTGGTGCTGCTGCTATTCAACCCGAGGTTTTTGACAGAATCCAAAAAAGGTTCTGTAATCGATAATAACTTAGCATTACGACTTCAGTCACTTTTTAACCGACGTTATCTACAAATATTTACATATGAACTCTAACAAGCTTTTTTTTTTCCCTGGTGCCCCGAGTACATGAATTGAAGCGTGCAACAAGATTGGCTTTTAAATCCAACTCGTTTGTTGTTGAAATATCTAAATGCAACCATCACTTCTACTCTAACAGTTGCTTTTCTCACACTTCTTGCCCGTGGAAAACTCTAATCCTTTTACTTGCTCAACGTTAATCGCCATCTTCTGTCTCCTTGAATCCCGTCATAGTTTGTCCTTTCCTCAGTCTTTTCTATCACTTTCGCTCGCTGTAATCCCCTGCGTACTAGTGGTCGTCCCGCCTTGCTTGGGGTGAAATGAGTAAAAAATAAATAAAAATTAGCGTGTCAAAGAAATAATTAAAATAATGTTAGCAATTACAATTCTCATTAATTCAATCATTCCAAACGAATGAGAATCGACCTCACTTTTCTCCTCCAAACACGTGACATTTCTTATAAGCAGTTCACATGGGCAGGTCGTTAAAACGTGCGTCAACGAAAACTCCATCTCTTTTTTTACATTTCAGGCCATAATTGCAATATTCATCTTTTAGCACACAATAAAACTTCGAGGTAAGAAAACCCCTAGACAATTATCTAGACACTCATTACACACATCAATAAATAAAAAAAACATACGAGAAACACTGCATACAACTTGCTTCTTCTTTAGCGTATCTATATCCATATTTAATCTAAATCTCACCACAGACTCACAATTTTACTCAAGATTACTGTCTCGGGATTCTTCCAAAACACGTAACACCCACATAATACACGTCTTGCTATTTTTCATTTGAGGAGAGTATATATATATATATATATATGATTGAATGTATATGTGTATATATATATGTGTACATATATATGTGTGTGTATATATATGTGGATGCGTTTATATGTGTATGTGTACATATATATGTGTGTGTGTACATATGTGTATATACACTGCGTGCCAGATTATTATCGAGATAACTTTTTTTGTAATATTTCAAAAACCATCCAATCAATTCACGCATAATTTTCACACAAGGTTGGCAACACTCACCTGCGCAATCACTGAAATTTTCGTAATGATCTGCGAAATGTAAACAAACTGGCGCCATATTTGTTATCAGCACGGTGATTTGATCGTGCCAAATTATTAGAAAAGTGTAAGAATTTAGTGAAAAGATGGGCCGTAAAAGCAGTTTAAGTGATGCTGAAAAGAAAACTATTAACTCAGAACTCTCAAAAGGTAAATCTACCCTACAAATTTCTAAAATGATAGGGAGGTGTCATCAAACTGGGAAAAAGTTCACCGCCGACCCTACACAAGTACGCAAAAGGGCAGATAAAGGCAAGCCGAGGGTTATTTCAAGTCGTCTCATGTCACGACTTAAATGAGGGGCCACGAAGAACCCTGGACTTACCAGTCAAGAGCTTTTCAGTCGCATTGGGGATCCTACTGTGTCTAAAAGTACTTGTAGTTGGTATCTGAGGGAAATAGCAACAACAATCAAACCTGTATCGAAGCCTCCGTTGACGAGAAATCACACTCAAAATCCATTGAAATGAGCCGAGGACAATATGAAGATTGACTTCTCTAAAGTTTTGTTCACAGACGAAACTCGAGCAACACTTGATGGGCCAGATAGATGTTGCAAAAACTGGGTAATGAACGGACAAAATCACCATCAGTGTTTGAGACGCCAACGAGGCGGTGGAGGCATAATGATCTGGGGTGGTATTATTGGAAAAACATTAGGGGGCTCATGGAGACTACCAGATGGCGTCAAAATGACTGCTGATGCATACATAGCGTTTATGAAGGAGCATCTTGAACCGTGAATGAAAAGGCAAAGAGTTGCCTTTAGGAGGGCCATTTTTTATGCAAGATAATGCTCCCTCACATGCTGCTCACAAGACTACTGAATATTTGAAACAGTTAAGCTTTGATGGACTTCGAAAAATGAAGTGGCCAGCAAATTCTCCAGATTAGAACCCAATCGAAAACGTTTGGAGCATCATGAAGCGAAAAATGTACGCCAACGGATGACAATTCAGGAGCAACGCTGAGTTGTGTGAAGCAATTCTTGACATATACCGCGGCATTACAGCAGATGACATTCTACAATTAACAAATTCTATGGATCGTCGTCTTCTTCAAGTAATTTCAAAACAGGGAAAGCACATTCCCTATTAATTTGTTTAAAACTGTGCTTTGTTTGTATGTTATTATTTGTTTGATTATCTTATTTATTAGATTCTTTTGATCATAAACATTCACGTGCAACATTAATAAACGTTTTGTTTGCTCAATTCTGGGAATTTTACTAAACCTTTCTAATAATTTGGCACAATCAAATAATCGTGCTGAT